TTAAAAAAAAAAAAAAGAAGATAATAGGAAGGTAAAAATGAAGGGGGGAAATAGGAGGGGGAGATGAACCATGAGAGACTACGGACTCTGAGAAACAAACTGAGGGTTCTAGAGGGAAGGGGGTGGGGGGATGGGTTAGACTGGTGATGGCTATTAAAGAGGGAACGTATTGCATATAACACTGGGTGTTATATGCAAACAATGAATCATGGAACACTACATCAAAAACTAATGATATAATGTATGGTGATTAACATAATAAGATAAAATTTTTTAAAAATCATAAAAAAAGATGAGATAGATATATACAACGAAATATTACTCCACCATAAAAAACGATGAAATCTTGCCTTTTGTGACAACTTAGATGGACCTAGAGGGTATTACATTAAGTGAAATAAGTCAGACAAAGGCAAATATCATATGATTTCATTTACCATAGGATCTAGAAAACAAAAATAAACAAATAAAACAAAATAAAAACAGACTCACAGGGGCAGGAAACAAACTGTTGATTACCAAGGGGACAGGGGTCAGAGCAGGGAGGCAAAACAGGTGAAAGACTTAAGAGTTACAAACTTCTAGTTAGAAAATATTGAGTTATGGAGAAATTATGTACATAATAGAGAACAAAGTCAATAATATTTCAATAACTTTATATGGTGACAGTAACTACATTTATTGTGGCGATCATTTCATAATATTTTAAGTTGTCAAATCACTATGATGTACATAGGAAACTAATAGGGTATAATATATCATAATTATACTTCTATAAATAAAATAAATAAATAAGTAAGTTATGCTAATTTCTAGTAATATATACACGACAACAGTAAAGGAAGTTAAAAATGCTTAGGGATCTTCAGTTATTTTGTGCTATGTATAAATTCCAGGACACCGTAGACTTTCTTGTATTTTAATCAGAGGATATTTTATGGACCCTAAAGCGTTTCAGTGGCCAGAAAACTCTCATCCATACATCATAGGTTTATGGCTTTTTAGGTTTTTTTCATCTCTTCCAAGAAATCCTTTTTCAGTGATTTATGTTTTTTGAAAATAATATCCCCCTAATCTATGTCCATACCAAACAAGGAAAATCATTTTCCATGACCTGAACCCAAGAAGTTGGATATTTACTCTAGCTAAACAAAGGGTGCCAAAAGAACAACCAAACATGCAAGCTACTTCCTGATTATCTTAAAATAAGCTCTACAGTTTATTAAACGCACCTGGAACAGCTCAAAAATATCCAGACTTGTTCTGATATTCCTAAAGTCTTTTTTTTTAACCATTCATTGAAATGTGAGATTAGAAAATTCTAGATATAATACTTTTTTCTTTTTCTTTCCTTTTCTTTCTTATTTTTTTTTTTTTTACCTTTGATCCTTCAGGGCCATTTTGTCCAGGAATCCCAATATCTCCTGGAAAACCCTAGGGAACATAAAAATATAGAGAATTTACTCAACAGCCATTACTATAAATCCAATAAGCATATGAAAATTTCCTTTGCCATTCTCTCATTCCCAGTTAAAGTAATTTATACTGCTCAAAAACTCAGTATTAAAGGTCTATTATTAGGCAGTTAACACTGGAATACAAAACTGACAAAGTTACTTCGCCAGTTCTTCACCAGTTCTTCCAAATCTTCAGGCCCAAAGAAAATTCTTTAATCCAGTCTAAGAGAACCAAAGTCTTAATCCAAAACCATCCACAACATGGAAAAAAGGCAAAAAGGTTCATAATAGGTCCCTTCAATGACCTATGGGACACATGGCCACCCAAGGATTAGGGGAATGTAATTTGTTAGATTCACTGTTTACTAACCAAATGTTAACTTGTAGATTTTTGTTAGTTAGAAATGCAAATAAATTTTGTCTGGTGAAAAAAATAACCATAAAGGTTATGGGTTAATATACAGGATATTAATCAGTTTTGTATCTAATTTAATTATTTTATTCTAACATTCCCATATTTAATAGTCAATACTTAGCTCTTCAAATGCTCCTCAAACTCATCTTAATATCTTACTGGTTTCATCATTAATTAATGAGTTCAAAAAATTTTTTCACACCCATGTTTACTTTTTATTTGCCTAAGAATCACAATTTTACCTTTTTGGAAATTATATTTTAGCAGCCTAACATAGTTGGCTCAAGAAATAGAAAGGAGCTGTAGTGTGAAATAAAATCTGTGCTGGGGAAAGGCCTAGAACGTTGCTCTAAAATGGTTAGATCAATCAGTGTTCTCACTGAAATAATGAATTAGAATGTGATTCATCATGATCCATTTTAATAATGAGAATAAGGTAGTAAGTGCAGTTTTACCTCTATTGTTTTGTCACAGACAAAGCTGTTTCAGTATTTCCTACTGACTTGGGCAAAGGAACAGAAGGTAAGATGAGTACAAGAATCAGCATCTTTTCAAAAAATATTTTATTTTATTCATTTGAGAGAGAGAAGGAGCAAGAGGAGGGGCAGAGGGAGAAACAGACTCCCTGCTGAGCAGGAGCCCAATGTGGGGCTCCATCTCAGAACCCTGAGATCATGACCTAAGCCAAAGTCAGATGCTTAACTGACTGAGCCACTCAGGTGCCCCAAAAATCAGCATCTTAAAAAGTAAAAGTTACAAGTAAATATGAATGTGAGCTAGAAAAGGTAGTTCAGTGAAGAAGTAAATATGGTGGAAATAAAAATGCCCACAAGTTACATGGAACTGCAAGGTTGATTCTGGAATATTCATCCTGGAAAGAAAAATCAAAAGACAGTGATACTAACTCATCCAGTCCAGATTAGGACAGAAATGCCTTGACTCTGATTTAAAACTTGTATTCTATAGAGAAAAATATTACTTAGGGACATTTCTGGCAAGAGAAAAGACAGTGATAACAGAAAAACTGGTCACAGGATCAGATTTGAGTTTAGCAACAGAATATGCTTAATATAGACTTGTTGATTGCTTTTCTAATGAAAGAAAAAATCAGGTTCACCTATGCCTTCTCTGCCTAAATAATTTTCCCTCACCTTTCTTAGTAACGTAAGTTACTAAGTTACTAAGTTACGTAAGTCTGGAAGACTTACATTTTAAATAGAATAGAAAATTGAATAATATTTTTCCAAGTTTTTATTTAAATTCCAGCTAGTTAACATACAGTGCAATATTAGTTTTAGGTGTAGAATTTAGTGATTCATCACTTACATACAAGACCCAGTGCTCATCACAAGTGTCCTCCTTAATACCTATTACCTATTTAACCCATCCCCCTGCCCACCTCCCCTCCAGTAACCATCAATTTGTCCTCTGTAGTCAAATTATGGAAGGAGCCAAAATATCCATCAACTAATGAATGGATAAAGAAGATGTGGGATATATAATTGAATATTGCTCAGCCATAAAAGAAATGAAATCTTGCCATTTGCAACGACATGGATGAAGCTACTGAGTATTATGCTAAGTGAAATAAATCAGCCAGAGAAAGACAAATACCATATGATTTCACTCATATGTGGAATTTAAGAAACAAAATAAATGAACATAAGGAGGAATAAAAGAGACAAACCAAGAAAACTGAATGATATTTTGCTTCTTTGATCCCCAAACCATGAGTTAGTTCTCTTCTAAGAACTCTCACACTATCCTAGAGTCCTACAAGGTCACTTAATGTAGTATTATGGCTTATATTATTTTCCTCATCAGATTGTAAACTCTTTGAAGGCAGTTTTATGTCTTATGAATTATAATATTTCCAGCAACTAGTACAACACCTGGTACATAGTAAGTGCTAAAAAATTTATTTTGTAGTTGTCATTGTCAAGTGACTGACTTGTTTCTCTCAGAAAAAAAAAAACAAAAAACAAAAACAAAAACAAAAAAACGACAAGTCTGGTAGCTACTTTTGGTCCCTGAGTACTGGTTTACAACCACTGGTTCAGAGGATCCCCATGGATAAATTCATAGTTCCTGTCCATCCTCCTGATGAGCCTGAAACACCTTGTCATTCCAGAAAGCAAAAAGACTGTAAAAGATGTCAAATCGAGAGTTATGTTAAAAGAACCGAGGGGGCTTGAAGAGGATCCCACTGAGCAGATATAGGATAATATGAACTTCAATAAGGATAAGAATTACAATGGATTGAAACATATCAAATATGTTTAAATTCATGAGTTTTAATGATACAATTAAAGAACTGCCCACTTTTAGAGGATGAAAGGAAGTCAGCTCCTTATTTTGAAAACTGGTAAAGGTGAAGAATCAAGCATTTATTCTACTTTCCCATATACACTGTGCTACTACTAACCAAATAGTAGATGAGGGAATGTATTCAGCCAACAAATAAAAAAGAAACGATACAGCAAAAATATCTCCATTTTGCAACCACCTAAATCTAATACATCTGGGCAGTTGCGTAATCAACTGTTACTAACATCATAAAAAAAGGAACTAGACATTATGTGCTTTCTGATGAAAGAATACAGTATCACCTATAGTTTCACCAAAAACAAAGAGAACTGAATATGGCCAAGCCTCTGTATGTGACTACCCAGGTCACATGACCAGGGATCTTTAACAGCTAATTTGTAAGGGGAAAAAGGGAAATGGAAAGAGAACTTGTAGACTGAAAGACATAGTAACAAAATAAGCCTATACTACAGTTTTCACCTAACTTGAATGACAAACCATAAAAGAAAAAAGCACTGCCAACTTTTGGGAGGAGAGGAAGGCTTATGGTTCGGTTGAGATCCAAAAAAGCTTCTGGGGATAACTGGCAGTTCTATTCTTGACCTGCATAGCAAACACAATAGTGTTTTTCTCACAACTGTTGTGATACACATTTGTTTTATATAGTTTTTTATCTGTGTTTTATTTTTCAATAAAACAGTAAAAAAGTTATTGAGGTGACTTCTGGGTAAACATGGAATATTAAGTATATCCATGAATATCTGTTCCTTCTTAAACATTAAAATAATAGTAAAGGAATATTAAAAAGACCTGAAGTGCCAAAGACCAGGGGAATAGGAGACAACAGATGTCAATAATTTGGAAGCCTTTTATTTCTTTTTGTTGTCTGATTGCTGTGGCTAGGATTTCCAATACTATATCAAATAAAAATGGTGAGAATGGACATCCCTGACTTGTTCCTGACCATAAAGGAAAAGCACTCACCTGTCAGAATGGCTAAAATTAACAACACAAGAAACAATAGGTGTTGGCAAGAATGTGGAGAAAAAGGAACCTTCTTGTACTGTTGGTGGAAATGCAAACTGGTGCAGTCACTCTGAAAAACAGTATGGAGGTTCCTCAAAAAGTTAAAAATAGAACTACCGTAAGATCCAGCAATGGCACTACTAGGTATTTACCCAAAGAATGCAAAAATACTAATTCAAAGGGATACGTGCTCCCCAATGTTTACAGCGGCATTATCTACAATAACCAAATTATGAAAACAGCCCAAGTGTCCATCTACTGATGAATGGATAAAGAAGATGTGGTACATATACATACACACATATAATATGCATATATTTAATGCACACTCACACAATGGAATAATACTCAGCCATCAAAAATAATGAAATTTTGCCATTTGCAGTGACATGAATGGAACTACAGAATATTATGCTAAGTGAAGTAAGTCAGCTAGAGAAAGACAAATACCATACAATTTCACTCATGTGTGGAATTTAAGAAAGAAAACAGATGAACATATGGGGAGGGGGAAAAGAAAAAAAGGAGAGAAGGACACAAGCCATAAGAAACTCTTAATGATAGAGAGCAAACTGAGGGTTGCTGGAGGAGAGGTGAGTGGGGGATGGGCTATGGGAGATGGGTAGTAAGGAGGGCCTTTTTGTGATGAGCACTGGGTATTGTATGGAAGTGATGAATCACTGAATTCTACTCCAGAAACCAATATTTCACTGTATGTTAACTACATACAGTTAACATAAAATTTAAATTAAAAACAAATAATTAAACAAATGAACTAATAATAAAAAATAAAATAAAATGTTGTTATAGACAGTAGCATCATTTAGGCCATCTAACTCTTTTGAAAATTTTCAAATTTTCATTGATTTTTATATTGATCATACTTTATACATGAACACAATACAGTTGACTTAAATTTATCTTAAGTAGTTTATAAGTCTGAACAAAGTAGAAATGACTATATCTCATAAAAACAATCATATTAAAACAGGATAAAATTAATAAATCATTCAAGCTAGTGCAACACATAAGTTATGGACTCCTAAAGGGCAAAGTTATTCAAAGCCTAGTTTGGTGCTTGGATACAGTATATTCAATAAAGATTTGGCGGCTTCAATCGATGACCAAATTAAAAATGAATTGTTTGAACAATTATATTTTCAGTTTTGCAGTTTCAAAGTTATTCTGTGTCAAAAAACAAAACAAAACAAACAAAACACTGCCCAAAA